TGAAGGTGGTGTCCTGCTGCCTCTCGTGTTCCCGAGGTGCTGGTGGGCGGGAGGCCTGCCACAGCCTGCTGCCTCCCTCCTCAGGGAGCCATGGGCTCCTCCGCAGGCCTCTGCAAGCGGGGGGGAGTGCGGACACAGAATCATAGAATGATTTGGGTTGGAAGGGACCTTTAAAGGTCATCTAGTCCAACCCCCTACAATGAGCAGGGACATGTTCACTGAGACCAGGTTGGCATGCCTGGGTGTGGGGCGTTGGAGGCTGCCCAGGCCAGCCAGCGCTGCTTCACTGGAGCAGAGGTGTTCCTCTGCCTCAGCAGCCTTGGGCAGCTCGGAGCGGCACCCCTGCCTGCTGCTAAACCAGCTACTGTGGATTGAACGTATCTGTGAAGGACACCCGCTAGCTCTAAGGACTAGCAAAGTGATCTGCACGTGGAGCTCCCACTGAAAGCTAACTGGTCTGGCTGTGCTGCTGCTTCTCCTTTAAAGAATCCTTGGCTAAACAGCTGGTTGGGGTGGAGTTACTGTAACAGAGGCTTTCAGTTTCGTTTCTTTTTTTCCTTTCTGCTCTTAGAAGAAAGGACCAGAGTTTTCTTTTTATGCAGCAGAATAAAAAGAAAAATCATGACGGAAGAGAGCAGGTTCTGCAAAAATTGGTAAGAGATCTTTCTCCCTCTCCACCCCTACAAAGTCTGCAGATTTCAAGTTTTCTAGGATTTTCCTTAATGTTATCTAGGTCTCCTGTAATGGGGAGAAGAGGAAGAACCACATGACAGGAGGGGTGAACTCTAGCCATTGGGTAGTAAACGAAAGTATTTTGTACACATTTTCACATTTCTGTGTTTCTGGTTTCTTACTACTTTGCTGTGGAGAGTTTTCTTCCATAGCCCCCTCCTATGCTGCATGTCCTCCTTTTACATAATATCACAGTGGGTAATTTTGCAGTATCTGGCAGAGGAGTTAGTGCATCAACTATGCCAAACCCAGCAGCTGCCTCAGTTTTCCCCCAAGGCTGATGTTTCTTTCTGTTGCTAGATTGCAGTTAAATGATAAAATACTCTTTTTTTTCACGATAGTTGGCCATCTCTCATAGAACAGAAGGCTGAAAGGGGCCATGAGGACAGCGTAGATTGGTGTGTCTCAACTAGTAGCTAGGCCACTGGGCAAATTATATGAACGAGGACTGTGAAGCAATTAAAAAGGAGTAAAACTTACAAAGGTTAAGCACGAGCTTAGCCTCGATTTTATTTGGTCACAAAGGAAAACCAGTGCTCAGCCTTGTACAACAGAGTCTGCATACTATGTCCTGAAAGGTTGTAGAGGACACTGAATAAAGCAGTTGCTGCACACTGATCAGATTCCTTGGCAGACCTACTTTGCCTATAACTTCTGATAGATGCTTCTAACCAATTATTAAAAATTCTGGTGACAGAGATGACACATTCTCACAGAAAATCCATTCCACTGCTTATCCATCATGATCATGAGAAGCTTCTCCTCATGATTAAAGCAGATTTCCTTGAGGCAACTTACCTTTTCTAGGAAAATGAGATGAGTTCACTGCCCCAGGGTTTTTTCGCTGTGGCTGCTCTGTTTTGGGGCTGGGCTGTTTGCAATTTATGTGGCTTCATCCTGGCTATTCCCCCCACACTGAGCAACCACCAATATTTTGGGCAGGCTGGTTCTGTGGCCCAGTCATGATGTCAGAGTTTGGAACAAAGGCTTGTGCAGAAAGCACAGATGGTAACAGCTATTCTGCCTCACCTATCTCCTTGAAGTAGCAGAGCTGGAAGCTTTCATGCCTGTTCGGGCAGTCTTCCTACTCTTGTAGGCCAGAAAGGTTGCATGGCCTTAGATATTCCATGCTGTATAACCTCATGTTCAGGAATAAGAACTGCATTAGACGAAGAAGAACAGGGTTGGGTGTTGTTTGCGGTTCTTTTGCTTCCAAGGTGGCTATTGTTCAAGGACTGGCTGGGCATAGGTATGCCTGTGAGAGGTGGTGAATGTCATTTGCTTTATTTGTTCCCCCCTTCTCTGCTCTTCAAGTGTTAGACTGTCTTTATCTTAACCTGGAAATTTTCTGACTTCTGTTCTTCCTATTTTCCCACTGTTTGCGTGGTGGGATGGTGGTGAGTGAGCAGCTCTGTGGGTGCTTGGCTGCTGGGCAGGGTCAACCCACCACACCACTTAATTTACTCTTCTCTCTTTCCCATTTATGTGCTCGGTAGTAAACGAGATGTGTCTGCTGACAATTTCTCCCTGCATGAGGCCCACTGCTTGCGGTTTCTCACTCTCTGTCCAGAATGTGATGAACCAGTTGCCCAAAAGGATATGAAGGACCACCAAACAGAAGCACACAAGCAGGTGAGGAATGCTACATGTTCTTCACAGTTTTCTTGCAAAAAGCTCTGCCAGCCCTGAAGTAGAAAGTTCATGGTACCGTGGTCTATATTAACTAGATTTGAACTTCTGTAATTGTTTGACCAGAAAATCTGTAATGGTCTTTAGGGGCTGGTTACAGCATCTTTTGGTCTTACTGCACACAGCTTACGACAATAAAGCTTTCACTGTGGTATCTCCATTTCCCCAGCAATACGAATTACAGATCAGGTGTGGATGCATGCTCCTAGCGCTTCTGTATTAGCAGAGCATGCAAGTTAAATGATTTGATTAGAGAAAGACAGACAGTACCGGATCTGACATAAACCTGGCTTTTACAAAGCACTTTTTTAAACAAAACTGAACAGGTAGAGTAAATTTATCATCTCTTCATATAGTGAGACAATAGTATGTTTAGTATAGCACTAAGAACCTCTGGCTAGAGGTACTGTTGGAGTATGGGTACACAGGCATGACTTTTTATTGTTTTACTAGTTTTATCGCTTTAGCAATTCCACTGATTTCAGTTATTTAACAGAACACATGAGTAGCTCTCATGGCCAAGCTGTAGAAAACTAGCATACCTCTTACTTTTTCAAAGGTGCTGTTTTAATTCAGACCAGCTGAATATCAGACCTATACTTTTAAGTTAAACCTCAATCAAAATTGTGAATACACCCTCTATTTCACACCACACTTTTCATTTCACCTCTGGAAGCTGGATCCTCACACAGAATGACAGTCTCCTGCAGAATTTTCAGGTGTCTGTATTCCTCAAACTCTCATCAACACTGCTCAGGCCTGACAGAGAAACAAATCCATCAACAGCTTGTCAATGATTGGGGTGAAAATGACAGGAAGATGGTCTGAGCAGCTTGAAGTTGTATTGACATACGAAAGCACTAACCATCCTCCTACACTCCCAATGAACTGCTGTATGTTTGGCTTGCAGGTCAGATGTAATCTTTGTCACCAGAGCATGCAGCAACACCAGTTGGAGCATCATGAGGTAAGTGTGGAGTGCAGTACTTTTTACCTTTTAGGCTGGCCCCTTTGACCAGCCGCTAAGAGTCACACTAATGGGCTCCACAGCAAAAAAACATGTAAATCCCTGACTCCTGTCCTGGGCCATGAAGAAACTTAAACCTCTCAATAGTTGCAGTGTTTTGGCATACCTTTCCTCCCTGTAAATTAATATATCCCATGGTGGTTGCCCATCCAGTTTTGATGGGACAGCCTGTTCCTGGAGATAAGCTATTACTTTCTCATACTTGGCACCTCAAGCTGATATGGGATTCACAAGGACATTTCCATCCTGCCCCCACGCTCATATTATCTGGTTTTCCAAATGAGAGGTTATGCAAAGCGAGAGTCAAGGAAACAGCTAAGGAGGAGATACACAAAAGACTGGCAGAGGCTGGGAAGTGAGAGTGGCCTGTCCATGCCAGCTGTAGTCTAACCGTTTCAAGGAACTAAAGCAGTGAAGAGACAACAGGCTTCCCTGGTGGTGGTAGCTCAAGTACTGGAATTTTCTAGGTGGACTTGCACTCTATTGCTAATGACTGCTGGCACAGAACATCTTCACTGCTGTTAATTCCCGTTTTGCCTTACGTTGCTGAAATCATCCTAAATTAAAGATAGCCTAGATAAGTAAACTCCTAATACAGCTAAGCCTGCACTGGTTGTGTAGGTACCCCTGACGGAGGGCGTTCTTAAACAGTCACTCATTGCTCTCACCCAATGCCCTCTTTTAGTGCTGATAGGAAATTTGCAATAATTTCCTCTATTCACGCGCAGACCAAGGAATGCCACAAACGAGCAATGAAATGCAAGATCTGTGAGCTTGAAATGCCCTTTGACAAGCTGCAGGAACATCTGGACACCTGTGCCAGCCGAACAGAGTTGTGTCGGGAGTGTAACAAATACATCATGTACAAGGACCATAAGAAGCACAAAGACATTTGTCAGAACAGTGATCTGTCCTGTCATAAGGTTGTAAACTTTCAAGCCAGGGAAGCATCCACTAACGCAGCATCTATGTCACCCACTGGTAAGCAGAATTCCTCGTTGTCATGGACTGGGTCAACTCTGTTAAACGTCAGTGAAAATTCTCCTGCAGTCTCTACAGTTCTCAGTAATCCAGGCTGGAGGGGATTGCTGTTTAACCAACCACAGTGAAGGGCCAAGTGTTGCTTTCTATTATGCTGGTTATTGTAAAGCCAGAGTGGTTCAACTGACTGGTAGCTCTTTGGCCTTGTTCATTTATGCCTCCCTTACATCCTAGAAGTAAAATTTCTTCGGTCAGAAAATAAGTGGAACTTCTTCCACTTTTTTTGTCACATAGGAGAAAATATGATTTAGAATTTCCTCCTACTTCATACATAAAGCCAGTGATGCATACCTTGATTTCCTGAAGTTGGGAGCAGCTTTCTTAGGCCTAAGGTATTGGACAGAGTATGTCAAGACAAAAAATTAATGAATCCTGGAATCATTGATGATTCCAGAAAAGAACAGGAATCAGTAGGTGCAGTGGTTAGCAAAATAAGCTATAGAGAGCAAAACCCCCTAGCAACAGAGTTAGCTAGGCCACGGCAGGAATGAAGCATCTTGAGCCACAAAATATGGGGCTGGAGTGGTATTTCAAATATCCTGAAGTTTGCAAGAAGGGACGGTGGATGGGTTTTGTGTGGGCACAAAAGCAAAATGCTGTCACAGGTCTAATTCCTTCTTGGTCAGTAGAATCAGCATTCTGTTTTTTTCTAGAACCAGTGACCATAAGTGGATCTGAGCAGCCTGTCTAGATAACTAGAGTCAGAACTGTTTCTCTCCATTTTATTTCCCTCTGAAGGTACTGGTGGCAAACTTTGTCAAACATGCAATAAGTCATTCCCAGATGACCAGTACTCCCAACATCAGGTAAGCACGTTTGAAAATGAACACGAGAATGCTCTGTGCTTAATTTCCAGCCAGGTTATTTCTCTGAAAACCTATATATTAGGTAAGAAAAGCAGCATGTCTTGGCTCGGAACTTCATGATACATTGTGTTCAGCTGAAGCATCACTGTGAGCTGGTGTCCACTGTGCCTGCCCATGACTCAAGCCTGCTGCAATTCCCAACATCCCACCCAGCTGGGTGTAATGCCAATCTTCAACTCACTGTGCATGCTCTCTTTTAACAGGATAAATGCAGTGCAGCCCATAAGCTGACCAAAGTTCTTGCTGGCCAGTCAGCTGCAAACCTCAGCAGTGATCCACCACAGCCTTCTTCCTCCCTGAATTCCTCTTTCCACTCCAAGAATGCAATGGCATGGAGAGATGTCCGTCCCAAAGGGAAAGGCAGGCACCAGCCATTGACCTCCAAAAGCTTGCTTAAGCCCCCAGAGAACAAAAAGATTGGCTTCCCCTCTCCCACAAGAGGTGAACATTCCGCATCACCTCAAGCTCTTAAAGACACCCAGTCTTTTGACGTGCTGGTGACCTGTGCCCATTGCGACATTCTTCTGCCGCTTCCAACCCTTCAGAAACATGAGGTGAGAAGTGACACATTGGACTCGGCCTCCTACGTGCAGAGGGCCATACCTACAGGGTCACTACTTCTGTCCCCACTGCCTGGGGTCCCAGTGCCCATTTCTGGATTCCATAGCTCCTTGAAATACTGGCTGTAGGCACATCCTTTCTGCAAAGCATGGAATTTGTTAATTCTGTTAACTATTTATGCTCACATCTACACAAACAAGATCTATTGCCTATAGTCTGCTTGAGTTTAGGAAAATAATAATCATGACTCAAGCCATTAATTTTAAGCTCATATCCTGAAAAGTCTTCAGCAACTGTCTTTATTTGCTGAAGGCTGAAGTTGTTCCTGCTAAGCAGATGTGTGATTATATCTCAGCTGCATCAGATATGGAGCTACAGATAATTTCCCATCCCAACAAAAAGGCCCAGTTGCCTCCCTACTGAATACGATTGCATGTTGGATATGATGTTAAATTCTCCTCTGATGTGACTGTTACTTATTTTTCTAGATCAAATGTCTACATGTCACATCTCTGAAAAACGCTAGTATGAAACAAAAATCAAGCCATGGAGAAAAAGGTATTGTAGAATTTCAGAAATTTAGAATAGAATTCATCATTTGGGATTATTCCACATTGGGTTAATAGGAGCAATGGGATGTTTTGCAGAGGAAGCGCATCTAGAAAAACCAATACTCAGAATATCACAAAGCTCTTCATATTTCAACACACAGCAGGTTCCCACGAGGTTGTGTTAAGCAAGCATTACTTCAGAGCCAGTATGTTTTCACTCTCTTGGCTTAGTCTTAACACATATTGTGCCTCTCAAATTATGCTGCTGTGAAGAGTGCAGTACCTTCCCTACTGTAAGCAGAGATCAGCACAAAAGATTTCACAGAACAGATGTTCTGCACCAGGTCTGTTTGTTCCAACACTGAATGGAGATGTAGAGAGTAGTTTTGAAAACAAGAAGTACAATTATCTTTTCTCCATAGTAAAAATTGCATATCCAGTAGAAGCATTGATATAATTATGCCTCCAGTTGAGCTTGCACTGATCCATAGACAGTAAATAAGTCTCTTTCCTCACCCTGTCCCAGGCAGCTGTGAATCTTAACACCTCTCTCTCTGCTAACATCTTTCCCTCTGCTTTTCAGTTCCTAAGCAGGATTGTTTCCTCCAGTACAATTAATTAAGTGAAACTGAAAGCAGTTGTTCCCAGTCTGTCCTTTTGCTACTTGGTTCAGTAAATGATGTATAACTTCTCCCTGTAAAACTTTCGTCTCCTGGTAAATTAAAGAGAGAAGGCACCAAAGTGAGAAATAGGGGGGTTGTCTAGTTTTGAATTACAGGACTCTAGTCTTGAAATGAAAGTAAGTACATGGTAATTACTCAGATTATTTGACTTGCACTGAGGTTTATTTATATTGTTCAACTGAGTGATGACACAGGAGGGCTGTAAAACGAACTTTAAAAACACTCATAACTGGGCTTTGTTTGTTTTACAGAAGAGACTTTCTTCAGCACTCATGATTAAATCTGGAAATAGAGGCATGTCTTCAGGCTGAAGCTTCAGCTCAGCTTTCATAAAAGGCACTGAGAGTGCGACAGCTTTGGTGACAAATAAAAGCGACTTACTACTCTGGATCAAGAGCAGAGAGTGACTCAGATTTTTATTCCTTATCAAGAGAGGCATTGAAAAGGTTTCACTAGAAGACTAAAAGTGGTGGGGCTCAACAGCTGTTATCATTGCAAATATTTCTGCGTAAGCCTGCCTTAGGAATGTACTTTTCACACCCACTTCAGTAAGGAGTGCAGCTTATTTAAAAATGTTTGTTCTGGGGGAGAAAAGGAAATAAGGAATTCAGAATTCCTTGTCACGCTGAACACCACCAATTCCTCTTGTCCTTGCTGAGTGCTGAGACCTTGGTGTTTTTCAGAGCATGGCACAGTGAAATTAAAAACCATTAAATCCTGCTCTCCTTCACTTCAGTGAACGACTGAAGCTAAGGCTAGTACAAACGGCCTGGTTTGGAGATGCCAGAGACATCCAGCTCACTGAGGGTGTTCATCTTCTGACACACAAATGGAAACTGGCAGAGCCCCATGGTGGAAAAGTGAAACACGGAGAGCGAGTGGATGCTTTATACTAACGCCTGTGAACATTTCTGCAGCAGCCTTTGCTGCTTGGCATCTCACATCAATAAACACGTTAACAGAACAAGGTGCCATTTTCCTCTCATCCACCTTTAGCAGTGTTCAATCTTACAAGCTGCTGGCTGGAACTCATGTACACATGCTGACCTGTCATCTGAGTATGAATGTTCTCAGATCCGAACCTGTTGGCGTCTGCATCGTTTATGCACAAGTACACATGGGATGTGAAGTCAGGCTGAGGTCACAAACTCTCTCAGTGATTCAGCAAGCTCAGGCTCATTTATGCATGTTGCAGGCATACCCGTATGGGCAGGACTCAGCTGAAATGCCCCGATGGGTGTTTCAAGAGCAGATCCAGCCTTGTAACCGCTGGGCTGGTGCCAGCAGTGTGAGTGGGAGTGCGGCTGGTCGCGTGGCCTGGGTGACTTCCGAGGCTCCCTTAACCTCTGCAGCACTGAGTCTGTAACGGTCAGCAGCTTTTCCTACGAGCATCCAGGGCTCCTTAGTCTGAACGGGAAACTGCTACTCCAACGCCCAGAGCGCAGAACGTCACCCCCGTCTGTCTCAGGTGTTGCGCTGGCCGGAGTCTGGTGAACCACACTGGAAAGCTTACAGGAGTATTCTGTAAGAGTTTAGGAGGGATTTTCAAACACAGTCTAAGACAGCACTCTGGCGTTTAGTTTGAGCTTTACAAAAATTATCTGAACTTCTGGCGAGCCGAGCTAACAGTGAACTTGGTGCTGTGAAACAGAGTTTTCTGGATTTGGGGGCAGAAGCTGTGAAAGCATGTCTGTTAAAGCCATATCTCTCTGTGCATAAATTTATCCTCTTTTATTCTGCACTCATTAGAATTTCACATAGTTTAGTGTTGTTATTATTCTTTGACACACACCACAGCAAGGACTTGATGGATCTCCACACAAGCAGCTCTCCCACCGTTGTGTATTTTGGGGTCTGTGCAGGTTCCAGCAATGCTGGCCTTACTAGGCCTCACCAGGCCTCACAGGAACTCTTCCTCTACTGTTTTTCAAAGTCTGTTAGAAGAGGGCTGGTGAACATCACATGCTCTGAAGGGAGTCCACAGTAAATGAGTAGAACAAGCTCAGAGACAAACTGGGCAGGCAGCTCACGCTCCACAATGTAATTCTTACACGGAGAAAGACACGACAACATGTTCATCGCTTTTGATGAGGAGCTGTGAAAGCTCCGCTGCTCAAATGCAAAGGAAGATAGTTTGCATCCCGAAACAGCCCAGTTTACCAGGCAGGGCAACAAACGGGCAGAACAGGCAGGCAAGGGAGCACGATCCCACCATGCTCCAAGACGGGTTATCCTGACAGCACGGGGCACAGGGGGGTGACATCCTGTTCTGCGGGACAGGAGACGACGGGGCCGTGTCTGAAAAGTGCCCCAAAGCTGGCACGGGAGCGCAAGGCCTGCTCGGTCCCTCCGGCCCTTCCCGCGCTTCCCGGGGCCTTCCCGCCCGAGCGGG